AAGTTAGGTCACTCCTGGGAAACACCAGGCCCCTAACAAGAACCTTTCCAGTTGGCTATCTGCTGGCCTAGCCTTCAGGAACCCAAGGTCATCTCCATACTACCCTTTGGTATTGGAGTAGGGCTGTAGTGACCGAGACACTTAGAATAATCTAATTTATGTTCTAACCTTGTAAAAGTTTCAGATACAACAGTTATAATGATCACTTCCAAAATTCCAGTGGACTAAATCCTCTCTGTCATTCAGGTTGTAAAAGGCACTATTGTGAAATGAGTTGTGAATTTAGCAGAGCATTCTAGTGATGAGAGGCAACGCGGCAAACTATATAGAGTGCTAACCTTCAAGTCAAGGGAGACCTGGATTCAAGTTCCACCTCTTACGTGTAATAGGTGTGGTCTTGGACAAGTCATTTACTTAACTTTTCAATTATCCAGGTAATGGGCAGTTAGGTGATACAGTGTATAGAGTGCTGGGCCTGGAGTCGGGAAGACGCATCTTCCTGAGTTCAAATACAGCTTTAGATACTTACTAGCTGTATGACTCTGGGCAAATCACTTTACCCTATTTGCCTCAGTCTTCTCGTCTGTAAAATGAGTTGGAGAAGGAAATGGCAAACCGCTCCAGTAGCTTTGCTAAGAAAACCCCAAATGGGGTCACAAAGTGTCAGATGTGACTGAAAAACGACTGAACAATAACAGCTCCAAGTAACTAAGACAATAAGTTATGAAGAAGTGTCAAACTGCATTAGCAGGGTGAATTTCCTCATCTGGGAGTTCCCCATATAAATGAAGTCACAGTTCCAGACTCTATCTCTAAGCTGATAATAATAAGCTTAACTGAGAGAAAAGTCTTATTTAGCTTCTGTCATTTCTATGGCTTTCTACTTTCAAAGCCTTTGACCATGAATTGTTATTTGTACATGAAGCCTTTGTAATTCCAACAAATTACTATACTTATTTTGCTGAGAGAATCTAGCAAGTGACTTCAGGATTTAAGTACCAAGGTCTGTGAGGAAGAAAATATTTAACCAGCTTTAGGTAGCTTAGTCCAGTAGAAAGAGTTGCATGTGGAATCATAGGACTTGGGTTCAAATTCTGCTTATTCCTCATGCAACCTTGGGAAAATCATTTGACCATGCCTCCCATCTCTTGATAGAAATGTGGTGAACTGAAAATACAAAATGGGGCAGAATTTTCAGACACATCCAATGTTAATTTTGTTTTGTTTCCTTTCATACTTATTTATTACAGGAGAAGGTTCTATGGGGGCAAGAGAGTAAGTTAGTAGGAAATACTAGTGGTACAATAAAAATAGAAGAATATCAATAAAATATTGTTTAAAGAAACTTTGTTTCTTTTCCCTAGGGAGAAGAAAAGTAACTTAATGTCTTGGGAGCTCTGTTTCCTCATCTGTAAAGCAAAAGGGTGGAACTAGAAAGTCTAAGTACCCTTCTAGGGGGAAATCTGTGCTAGTATTAGCTTACTTGTCTTCACCTCTGACAAAAAAGAGAAAAAGAAAAAAAAGGCCAAATTAATTCTTTCACCAAAAACCGAATTGAAAAAAAGAATCAAGGACTGTTGGAATGCAGTGATTCAGAAGTAGAATGAAATGAATGACTGAGACACAGGATTCCCAGCAATACTTAAAATGGGCACGATGGCAACTAGGGCCATTTTAAACATTGTATTTCATTTGGATTCCATCCCTCCCTGCTTCCAACATGGGTATGTAAATAGATAGTTGTAGATCTAATCATGGTGAGCTATCAAGATGACTGAGAACTAATCTTCTATCAACAGCTACTTACCTGGAGAATCTTAGCAAATGTAGCATTAACATTCAGAACACTGGGCTTCAGTCCAGTTTCCAATCATTTACATTTGCTATTCCTTTATGCAGGAGGAAAATTCAGTCATTTTCTATAAGTCAAAGCTAAATACTTAGTGCCACTCATTTTTTTTTAAATTGGAAATGTATTAAAAGGAAATAACAATGTGGGCCCCAGATCTGTCAGACACAGATGCTTCCCTCTTCTTCTCCTGTCATTCAGATGGAAACCTAAACAATAGTTCCTTCAGAGTTGATTTTTTTTTGGGGGGGAAGGATGTATTTAATAACAGTTATGCTCCCTACAAACCTGCCACTGCCACATGCAGCCTCTGGGACAGCACAATGATCAACAATGGGAGGTTTTTTCCTGGCTGTTTTCATTTTTAGAGAGCTGCAACTTTATTGATTTTCTTTTTGGTCAAAATAAATGGGATATTTTGGTGACAATTTCAGTGACAGAGGAGGATTTAAAAGGCCGGGGGTGGGGGGAAGGAGGCCTTAAGGTGGGATGGAGTAAAGCAGTATATAGTTCCAGGTTCCTTTTAAAAGGAGGATGGCAGTCTTACTCTACTTCTGAGTGGTTGCAAATTTCTCCACAATGCCTTTCACAGCTCTTTCTGCCTTTCTTCCTATCTTGACTCCTCTTTTGTCTTCCTGGAAGTAGAGGCTACCACCACTGCTAGTAGCAACTACTTTTGTGATAGATTTGAAATGCTCCCCAAGGCATTCCTTTTCAAAAATCTCTTCCCTACTGCCCTGTGCCTTAATTTCCATTATTTCTTTGAGTTAAGAAATTGAAGGTTTTGGTTAAAATCCAATTATTATTTGAAGTGATAATGCATTAACCCATGGTTATTTTTTTCAAAACAAGCTATTTAGTCACCTATCAGGTCCCTATGAGGCTGGTTAGGGGCTCTGATTAAGGAAGATTTGGATTGAAAGGAGCTTACTCAGGAAATTAATTCCTAGTGAAAATTGAAATTAGGAGAATCAGGGTAGCATGAGGGCTCTGAGCACCAGCCAGGAAGTGAAGTATCTAAATGGAAGAAGACATACTGAAATAGGACTTTATCAAATGAACATTTTGATAAATAATGCCATTCATTCGAATCTAGATAATATTCTAGAACTGCAGGAAGTTTAAAAGTTCATCAGGATGTTTGAGTACAAGATACAGAAGAAGAAATTTATTTGACTTGTAGATAACTTATTACTGGATTAGAAAAAGCTCTGCCTTAGAATTCTAATAGATTTGGACATATTAGCTGTATTGGGGAAAATAATAGAAGGTTGAGCCACATCTGCTGCTTCTGTGTTGAAATTTCATTGGACCACATTTAAGTCTTTATGTGTACTCAGAAACCTCAGGCAGTACTTTAAATAGAAAAACATTAAAATGCTAAATCTCCCTTTTCTCCTTAAATCTAACCAAAGTATTCATAGGGATTAAATCCTTAAGGAGAACAGTACTAGTTGCAACAAACACTATAAAACACATACACACACATATATGTGTATATATATATATATGTACACACATATGTATGTATGACAACATGAAAAATACGTTTTACAGTGTTTGTTTTACATATAAAAGTGTATATTACCATAACTGTATATGCATGTGTATATATAAATGTGTGTGTTTGTGTGTGTGTGTGTGTGTGTATGTGAGAGAAAGAGAGAGAGAGAGAGAGAGAGAGAGAGAGAGAGAGAGAGAGAGAGAGAGAGAGAGAGAGAGAGAGAGAGAGAGAAATAGAAAGAGCAAGGAAAAGCTAATTTGCTCATGGGTTAGCACTATGGCCATATGCTAGAAATTTTTGTATCTAGGGCAAGTGACAAAAAGTAGTCAGGCACGTGTTAATAAATGTGCCTTCATATAAACTTTAAGGACGGTTTTAGTTGGAGGCCAGGAGTGAAAAAAACTGTAGGAAACCTGCTTTGGGATCTGACAGAAATCCTAGACACTAGACCAAGATCAGACCGGTAGAATCTCATCTGATGACAGGTGGAAGAGAGAATGCCATCAGATAGCTTCCTGTTTTAGCTAATTATTCTTGGTACTTAGGTGATAAGCTCAATTGTTTCTGAATGGCTGAAAGACTACCATGTGCTGTCAGCTGCCTCTGAATCTGGGTGCCCTGAAACAAAAGTACTGTTGTCTCATCCTACTTTACCCATCTGGTTAATTTATGAATGAAGGAAAATGGAAATTGAATTTGCCATAATTACCAACAGGATAAGGTGCCTTGGGGCGTCAGTTTGGGAGAAAAATAATCAATAAAGATTCCTGGATTTGGAGTCCAGAAATCTTGATGCCAGTTCCTACTGATAAAGCACTGTGCTCGAAGTCAGGAGCTCTGAGTTCAAAGCTTACCTTGGATGTTTACCATGTGATCCTAACTTCTGTGGACTTGTTTCCTTCTCTGTAAAAGGAAGGGGTGGTCTTGAAGATCCCTTCCACCTTTAAGTCCACAATCCTAGCAATGTGACTTTGAACATGGTATTTCATCATCTGAGTGTATTTCCTTATCTATGAAACGAGGAGATTGGACTAAATGATCTCTGAGGCCTCTTCTAGTTTTTGAAGTTCTCTCAAGCACCTTGGGTAAGGGAAAGAAAAATAGACTAAGAGTGAGGAGACTTTGGTTCTAGTCCTTGACCTGCCATTAATTTTCTGGGTGACCTTAGGCAAGTCACTTAAACTTTCTAATGGCTCTTGTTTTCTCATCGGTAAAATAATGAGTTTAGCCTAGCTGGTCTCTAAGCTCCCTTCAAGTGCCAAAGTTCTATGACATTATAAATGCAAATGAATGAATTATCTAGTTTGGAGTTTTTCCCACAGCATGGGCTGAGCACTCATTGTCTTTCAAAGCAGGAAATAGAGAGGACATTTGACCTAGACATTTTCCTAAGCACCATAGGATGGCAGAATCAGTTTTCCAGTTGGAAAGAATCATGTATTAGCTAGACCAGCCTCTTCAGTTTACAAACCAGAAGACTAAAGATCAGAGGGGCTAAATGATTTACCTAAGGCCAAATGGATAGTAAGCCTCAGAGACAAAATTCAAACCCAGGTCATTCAGACACCCTAGAAATTGAAGCAAGTACAATTTTTAAGGCCATAGAAGAGCGACTGGGAATGTTTACATACCTTTCCTGAAACTTACCTTGGCAAGTTGTTCGTGTATCTCATATAAACTAGGTCTGTTCATTTTGGCACCACTGATGCTGCCAGTATTACGATAGTAATCAATCTTTGGAACCGCATCCATGGTGTTGTGGCCAAAGGTTTGTAGGTAGTATGTGTTGGTATGAGAATCATAGGTATGAAAACTTGCATCTGTCTTAGCAGTTTCTCCACTTTGGAGGAAATTGTCGTATAACTCCTGATTCCCAGGCCTAAAGCTGATTCTCAGTCTGTTATGGGCTTCATCAACAAAGGATGTTTCTTCATAATGCGGAGGGTCGTGATTGCTATCGGCAGCTGCACTGCTTTCATGGCTCTCATTAATTACATTAACTTGAAAACGATTTGGATGACTGGGGGCTGCATCCAGGAATACACTGGAAGAGTTGTTCATTGACATCTTCTGAAATGGAGTTCTCTGACTAAGCAGTTGTCAGAAAATCTGTTCCTTCACCTTCTCAAAATAAAAAACTAATGAGGTAACACTTGGCTTTCAGTATAGAAGAAGCCTGATTCCTAGAAGTATTCTCTTCTAAACAGCCTTCAGAATGCCTTTCTTCTCAGTTCTATCACCAAAAACAAAATAGGTTTGTTTCAAGTTTCAGAAATGAGTAGGAATCAACTTAGTTAATTCAGTTCTCTTTCTAAGTTCAATATCTCAGGAGCTCTAGGATTCAGGATTTACGATTCATTCTCTTTATTCAAATCTGCCTTTCTATGGAATCTAATCACCTGGGTAATTAAAGCATGTAATAAACAACTGGAGACCTGCTTTGGCAGACAGAATTTCCACTGGAGTCATTAGAAATTTGACTTGTGCTGGGAGCATTAGGTTGAGGCTAGAAAACATTTAACTCAAATAGCTGGGTATATTAATAGTTCATTACAGTAGTTTAAAAAACTTTGCTAATGATAAATCACTGAAACTTCAAAAATAATTATTCTAAAAGTGCAGTTGGAAGAAAAATGATACCAGTAAATGAGAAAAAACATTAAAATCAAAATCTTCTTACAGATTTGTCTTCTTAGAAGATTATAGTTAAAAATGGATGTTTCCAAGTAATTAAAATTGTTCCAGTTATATTTTGGTAATGCATTCAATTAGTAATTGATTATGCTTTTAAAAATTCTTTAAAAATATAAATTAAGATTTTAAAACATTCTCAGTATGTCACAAGTTATTGCAAATCCCTAGATCTTGTACCAGATTTGAAATATCTTTTTTCTGTTTATTTGTTTTGCAAATGCTGTGTGGAGCCTTTATTAAAGATATGGGTGTTTAGGGAGGAAATAAATCACCAGAAATTAATAAAATGGTTATGTTATATCTATGTATAATAGCCATACTCTACAGATTGTTTTTAATGGAATAGTATCAATCTTCGTTATGAGGCAGAGATTTGACTTGGAGATGAAAGGAGTACATAATAATTTTCATAGTTCCAAAGAATGACAGCAATATCTTATTAGAGTCTTTCTTCAGAACAATGTTATTTTGTAATGGCCCATATTTTGGTTTTCAAAGAAACTTCTAGGAAGATGAAATCACCACATTCAAACTGATAAAAATCATCTTTTCCTTATGCATATTTATTTTAAAGTCTCAACTTTGAATTTCAAATAATTCATTCCCAGAGAAATAAATAAGTATATAATAGCAAACATGTTTAATGCTTAAGGTTTACAAAGAACTTGCCCACCTTCAACAGCTCTTCATACAACACTAGGGTTTTTCCACATTGTGCTAGAGAGAACTCTGGGTAGGCAGCTTCTGAATTTCCTTCCCAGCCTTAGTTGAATAAGTCCAACACAATGGTATGATGCTAATTCATAAGTGTACAGTACTGTACAAGCGAGAAGTGAACTTACCACACAGGGCCAGTCTTCAAGGGAAGAGTAAATTGCCTCTACATCCCTGGGGCATAGAAGAACACTTTGCTTTCACTCATCATCCTAGACTGCTTTTTATTGTTTAGAGTCTTACTTTTCAGGGAGGACTATGTAGGGATTGGCTGGGAACAAGATCATAAGCCCCTCCCACTCATTAAGTCCAAAAGACCTTAAATACTGTCAACCAGTGACTAGTAGTAAACCATTAATTCCTATTGAAAGGAAGTAAATGAAAATGCCTTTAATTCATAACAGGAAGAGGGTTGTGTAACCACAACTCTCCAACAAAACAACCAGGGACGCTTCAGTTGTTTGGAGGTAGATGAATGGCGTTTCATCTTCCTGAGTGAGGTTTTTTCACATGAGTGATTACACAATGATCTCCCTTTGTTCAGTATGTACACTAAAATATAGGCTTCCAGAGATGATGTCTATACTTTGTAACTAGAGAATCATGTTTCAAGTGTTTTTTCTTTGCTTGTAATGGCTGTTGGCTCTTCTCTACATGTGAAGTGGGCAGGTAGGGGTTGGAAGCTGGGATTTATAGAGAACATGTCTGCCCAAGGGCAAAAAGTTTTTCAAGCAAGAGTAAAACAGAGCATAAATTTTCCATTGGCATGTCTAAAAGATTAAATTGTGTTCATTCAACAAAACATTTTGTCAAATTTGTGTCATCAGAGTTAATGTATCCTGCTCTGTCATGATGAAGCCTTCACCCACACCAGCTGATTAAAGCTTACTCTAAATAGTTCAAACTGTCCATCTGAATTTATGGAATATCAGAGTTGGGAGAAAACTTAAAGATCATCTAACCCCCTACCCATTTTACAGATGAGGAAACTGAGGTTCAGAGAAGTCACAGAGACAGTTGGTGAGATAACTAGAGCCATGTTAACCTCCTCTGTCTGAGCCTTTTTCTCTCCCCTCTCACCTGGTTGCTCTTTAGCTGCAGCAGTTCAAGAACTAATCTCAAATACATGTCATGATTACATTAACTCTCTCAATTAAATATACCAGCTCCGTAGACAAGCATAAAGGCAGGGCCAAGTGTCTTGACACTCTATATACATGCCTATAACTGGCTACATGTAGTATACACATGTGTGTGCAATTTTCCAGCTCCCAAGGACACCTGTTTCCTTTCCACTCTCATGACTCATCTACCTTGCTCTCTCTGCTATGTTAATGTATAGTGTCCAAATGGCATAGTTTTAACAGGGAAGAAATAATCTGTATTTTTTTTTTTTAGATATTGACATACTGGGTTATGGAGTATGAGCATTTATGAAATGAACCTGAAAATTTCATATGAGCCAGTAAATAAATGTGTCATCTCATAAATATCAGTAAGACTAAATGGAATAACATCCATAGCTAAAGGGATTCAGGACTTTTCCATCTTTCATATATTCCCCTCCCCTTGATTAAAATATTTTGTGTCCTCTTTAACCTCCTCTCCCCATTGCGGCAGGGGTTTGGGGGGGGTGGCGATTCTCTGCAGAAAGAAAGAAGTCTTAGGCACCTAATTGTGTAAGTTTCTGGGAGACATAATCTCATAAAGACAACATTGTTTCTTCTCACCTAGAGAATAGTTATCACCAAACAGAGGATGTTCTGAGGCACAGATGATGATGGACCAGGAATTTTTTAAACTGTGTATCAGCATGTCAATGTAGCTAGTTAGAGTTCAAAGGAGATTTAGATTTTGGTTTGACAATCTGTGGATGAGTGGAGATAGTGATGAAGCAGGATGCTGTGTGTGCAAGCCATAAAAGTGGCTGGGGTCTCCTCTTGTAATAGATGAAACATGTCTGGGGCTAAGTCAAGAGATAGGTCTGGTTGTACTGAACTCTCATGCTTATTCCACAGGGGGAAGAAAAAGTACATGTAAAATTTAGCTCTGTTTTTTAAAATTATTTCTTTTCAGGTTAATTAACATCAGTGTTAGCTATCTAAAATGCCAGAACAGAACTGCTCTGGATTAAGTACTTTAGTTTTTTGTGAGAGGAAGTTAGAGAGAAGAGGGGCAGTAGCTAGCAGAGAATGAGAGAGAAGGAAACAGGAAAAGCTTCCCTGTGTGGAACCACTCCCTTTCAGAGCAGAAGGAATTCTTCCCCCCCCCAAATGAATGGGGGCTCCTAAGCTAAATGAGGGAGAATCTTACGCATTAACCTATTTTATAAACTTTCCAAATCAGCAAAAACTGAGTCAGGAGGTTCCTCTTGACAGAAGTCTGAATCATGAGTAAGTAGATTTAAAAGGTGGAAGGAGATTTGATAAATAATGAAAGTAGATGCTTATCTCAGTGGCACACATTGCAAGTAAATTTATGCCCTGTATTGTTCTTTCCTGGTGAAGTTACCAGCCATCTGATCTTGAATTAGAGACACAGCGAAGACATTGACCAAGAGTAAATTATACCCCCTAGTATAACTGAAGAGAAGAGTTGGGGGAAGAGCTCCATTACATAAAGATCAGGTCAACTAAGACAGAATAAACAGTTTTACTATCAAACTAACCAACTCCAACCCCACACCTTGCTATGCCATCAAAACAGGAAAGACTCAAACTTGTTTGTTGATTAATTAATAAATGTAGCTCACATTTCTGTGGTACTTTGAGACTAACAAAGCATTTTCCTTATACCAGTCCTATGAGGTAGTAATATGTGTTAAGCCCATTTTGCAAGTGGGGAAACTGAAGCTCGTGAAGTTTCAGTGACCCACCCCTGGCCACATGGTTAGTAAATGGTAGAGCCTGGAATTGAATCCATTGTTTTTTTGGTTCCAAGTCCACTGTTTTTTTCCACTATAACAGTGCTGTTACAGTTGGAAAGAAACAGAAAGAACATTTGATCTCTCTCATTTCACAGATGAAGAAAATGAAAACTGCAAAAGGGAAGCCACTTTCACAAAAATTAGTCAGTGAGAAAGCCAGAAATGGAACCCAGGTCTACTGACTCCCTAATTCAATGATTTTTCCAATATTCCATACTACTCTTTTATATGTTAGAGTGAATGATTTTTGGTCAATGTGTTAAAATCAAGGCATTTTAATTATAAGTTTTTCATCTACAGTTATGGAAATAGAAACTTTGTCTCCAGTTAAAAGAATGTCAGGGATCAATAGACAGAAACAAGTAAGAAGGCTGGGGGTGGGGCTGGAAATTATGCTATGCTGACCTTGAAAGGTAAACATAGTTTAGTCCTTTTAAGGTGGCTGGTGGGGGAGGGGGGAGGAAGGGGGAGGGAATTGGGAGAGAGAAAGATCAGGCAGAGGATCAGAAATCTAGAGCTAAAAGGGATCTCAAGGCCATTTAACTGAGTCTGTTTGAGGTCCCAGGAAGCTAAATAACTTGTCCAGGATCACACAGGCAGGTAGTCATCCTTCAGAACAGGGATCTGAATACAGATCCTCAGCTCCAGAGTTAGTGGTCATTCCAACTCCTTCATTAGATACAGGAGAAAATGTAATCCTGGAGAAATTAAACAGCGTGCCCAAGGCAGTGAGGTAGTAAGCATCAGAAGAATTTTAAGCTAGGTGCTCCGACCTCAGAGCCCACGTTCCTTTGATAATGACACACTACAACCCAAAGAGATGGTTATTGATTTCTTTCTTGAGGGGAAGGCTGCCTACTCCCCTCGGAAGACAAGCCCAGACTAGTATGACTATGGTTTCTGGAGATCTATTCCTGGAGCTACTAGGAATGGAGGAACTTGCATCCTGTCTTCTCTGGCTTCTTCCTTTTTCCTTCCTTCTCTCCTCAAGTCTCTTTTCTTTCTTTCCCTGATGAGGACAGATTGGTCCTTTACAGCTCTAACATTCCAGATCTAAACCTTATGGGGCTTTGGAATCCTCCACCCTTCCAAACTTTCCTGAAGTCAGGCAAATTAAAGGTAAATTCTAGTTAGTAGTAAACCTCCCTTATATCCTTCCCCCCATCTGCACTTGCAACAGTAGGTAGGCTGGGCCCAACATGCTTTAATTTTAGGCTTAGTAGGAGGCAGGGCTTCTGCTATTGGAACTGTCACAGGTATAGGTACCACACTGGGACAAAATATCCATGATTGTGGCACAGTGTCTAACCCCTGAATGGTACAGGTCTTGACTCGAGCATACACATGGCCTTAGGGAGAAAATTCAGAAAAAGCTTTCTGAGACAGTCAACACATTCAACACAGATACATACTAGCTCTCAAAAAAGGAAAACAAATACAATACTTCAGGGAGCAAAAATGGCACAGTTTGCCAGACACTGTCTCCAAGGTAAGTCTAATCAGAAGAGTCCAATGAGCACCAATCACACAAGAGGGGTGGGAAAGGGCCTGGTTGCTACCATCTCCTCTGACTTCTATACCTGTCATTGTCCTGGAAGGACCCTCTCCTCTCTACTTTCTAGGAGTTATGGAAGAGTTTGACCAATGAAACAACACTATTCCTTTCCCTGAGTTCTCCAAAACTCCTGGCTAATTGAAGCATTCCCTAAACCCAACCACCCACAAAATACTAAGGCAATCACCCCACACCTCATCTTAATTGTTCCTGTTAGGAAAGACTGTCATGGAAGTTTCCAGTATGAGCCATGAACAGTACCAGCTCCTGCCCATCCAACTCCCACAGCATTTTTTAATGAAAGTCTGCTTACACTCTTCTTTTCCATATATTTCAAGGGGGAAAAGATTGAGTGGACATCCCATAGAGTTGGCTAGTTGTTGATGTATAGTTAATTTTTTTAAAAGCCAATTATTTTTTGTTTTGTAAGTTATTAAAATGTTTTATTAATACTGTTTTTTTTAATTAAAATGCTGTCTAAATAGATACTGCTTTCTCCATCCTGACTATGCTACTCCCTACCTGCCCCCCTCCAACTCTATCTCAGGAGTCCTCTCTTATAGCAAAGAAAAACAAATAAAACCAACCCACCCAATGATTAGGTCTGATGATATACATAACATTCCCACACCTGTAGTTTCCTATCTCTCTATTGAAATGAAGCTAGCATGTTTTCATCAAATCCAGGATTCTCCAGGTCCAAAACTGGTCCCTAATTAGTTTA